AATAATCGATGATCTTATGCGCGAATCCTCATCGTGCGAAGTGATAGNGGACCTGTTTACTAAAGGTAGTCATCATAAGAATCTCAGCGTTATACTCATTTCGCAGAATCTTTTTCACCAGGGACGCGGTCAACGTGATATTTCGCTGAATGCGAATTATATTGTAGTTTTCAAGAATCCTCGCGATCGCGCGCAAATTCGTCATCTCGCGCGTCAAGTCTATCTCGACGACGCAAAGTTTCTGGAAGAAGTGTACTACGACGCCACCTCGCGGCCTCATGGCTATTTACTACTCGATTTGAAACAATCGACACCGGACGAATATCGTTTTCGAACATGCATCTTTCCCAACGATCCACGCCAATACGTATACGTGGCCCTCAGATCCCATGTGAAAACGAACGTATAAAAACGCGAAGCACACAAGTGAAAAGAAACATTTGAAGCTACGATAGTGACGAGAGAGCAACAGCAGCAGAAGAATCGAGAAAAACAAAAAAGGATCGAGTCGACTCACATTAGAGCTAGACGCTCTCTCGGTGAGAAAAACATCTGTCTTCTGAAGGCCTTGTGTCTTTTACATAAAAATCAGCGTGCGGCTTTTCTACGAAACGCTGATAATAAATTCATCGGCTGTATTCGCGAGTGCGTTTACAATACACTCAAAGATAACGTACCGCTCGAAAAAATAGAAAAGAAGCGACTAACCCGATACAAAACGGCGCTGCGACGTATCGCGGAAAGAAAAGGTACTTAGAGGTGTAAGAGAAAGCTGTTGGTGCAGCAAGAAGGATTTTTACCGTACATCATCGGTCCCATACTCGGAGCTTTGTTATCCAGGATTATCGAATAAGCGTGGAACGGGCTAAAAAAATGGTGCTGATTTCCACAGATAATCTCGAGAGAATGCAACAACGGATGAGGAGAAAATATAAATGCTAGCACTACTCGCACTCCCGGAACCGTGCTCTCGCGCCTCGACGCTGAAATGAGGCGAATTCTCGATTCTCCGACCCCCGGTGATGAAGGTGAAAGATGGAAAGTATACAGTGAAGTACTTCGTCGATATCTATATTTTATTCGAAAAGCGAGAAGACGTTCTCGCAGAGAAGAAGATCCAACCGCGGCGGAAACAACTGCGGTGACAGAGGGCGAGAAGGGAGAGGAGGGTATGAGAGAAGTATTTCACGACACGAAAGAAATGGCGGAAGAAATGGACGCTTCACCGCTATCACCACTGCCTACTACTACCGCTATTATTACAACCCCCACCGAGCGCAATTTACCAAAATATTATTCAACTCCCTTGCGTCATAATAATCTTCAGCAATACCAAGTTAACCAGGCGACCCCGAGGAACAAGAAAATTGTAGCGTTTTCAGATACACCGCTCAACATCGTCAGCAGCGCCAGTAGCAGCGTCACGCTCTCGCGAGCAAAAAACTATAGCAAAGATAATAGAAACAATTCCGAAAACTTACAGGCCCAAAGCACGAATGCTACTGAATTATCTGAATAATCGAAGCGGCTGTGCCTGACAAAATTACATGGAACGAGCGAGGTATTGTAACCAAAACTCTGAAATTGGTGGGAACGAATATTGTGGAACTCGTAAACGATGCGATACGAGAAAGAAAAACCGCCGGAATAACTGGAGCNCTTCATTTCGCCAATTTACTTCGTGACATAAACGCACCTCCTCAATACGTGGNAAATCCTAAATATTTACGCTTCTCGCGAAAAGGAGGAAAGAGAACGAAGCGTAAATCCGTACGGAATAGTGAGCAAGAAGAAAGCGAAGAAGAAAATGAAGAAGGATGGGATTACCGCGCCGTCGACAAGAACAAGAAAAAGATACGAATCGGGATTCCGAGGCGGTTGTTCACGTGGGAGGAGATGTAAACGAAACGCTTAAAAATCTGTATTATAATCTTTCGCATTATGCTGGTTACTCATCGACAAACTTGGCACTAGCCGCTAAACCGAATTTTTCACGTGAGAGCGTTGTTCGCTGGCTTCGCTCGCAAGACGCGTACACGTTACATCGCCCCGGTCGACGAAAATTTCCCCGTCTACATTACAACGTGACAAATATCGACGATGTCTGGGAAGCTGATTTAATAGAATTGCAAAATCTGCGAAGCTATAACAATAGATATTGTTATCTGCTGACGATTATTGATGTGTTCAGTAAATTCGCATAGGTGGAGACGCTGCGAGACAAAACTGCTCAAGTCCTTCATGCGTTCCAACGCGTGCTCTCGAGAAACGAGGGACGAAGACCTATATATCTACAAACCGACAAAGGTAAAGAATTTATNGCGCAACCGATGCAAAAATTTCTCAAAAAAGAAGGAATCCGTTTCCGCGTAGCGCCTAATCCCGATGTTAAAGCAGCCGTGATCGAGCGTTTCAACAGAACGCTAAAGGAGCGCATGTGGAGTTATTTTACTCATAGAAATACAAAACGTTATCTCGACATCTTGCAGGATATCGTACGCGCTTACAATCACACTCGTCATACCACCATACGCATGAAACCTGCGGACATTACGCTGAAAAACGCTCACATCGCGCGCGACAATAAGCAACGTCGTTGGAAAAGACACCGCGTCGAAGCGAAAACGGCTAAATACTCTGTAGGCGATCACGTACGCATCAGTAGAGCAAAAGCCTCTTTGAGAAGGGATACGAGGCCAAGTGGAGCGAGGAAATATTCCGAATTCATCGTGTTCTCGAGTGGCGAAATCCCCGTGTTTACGAGTTGATTTAGCATGATATAGCTGATGAGATTATAGACGGTATTTTCTACGAGCAAGAACTGTCGCCTGTTGTTAAAAATCTTCAAGAAGAAACTTTCATCGTCGACTGCGTAATAAAGAGCAGAGGGCGGGGGTGTAATAGGCAACTGTTAGTCAGTTGGCAGAATTACCCGTCAAAATTCGACTCGTGGATCGCGGCTTCGAGTTTAACATCAATTCCACAAAACGATGATTGCGATAGAGGAACACTTTTTTGTAGTTCTCCCAAGCAATAGCAGCATGCTTTATTTTCCACACAACACCACCTCGTGTTTTACTACAGAATTACTTCGCCGTATAGATTTGCAGGGGAGATGGGAAGTTGCTCTCGATGAGATTCAGTTTCCTTCTAGTTTTTTTACATTTACGCGCAAATAAAGCCCTAATAACGCTCACGAACATCTTTCCTAACGGCGATGTTTGGTCGGTTGAAATCCCGATATCATCAGGAGTTTATTCTACAGAAGCCGATCTTATAGAAACTATAAATCACGCATGCTCTAGAGAGAAATCACATGTCAAATGGTCGGTGAATCCGCGCTATGGTAATAAAGTTTCTATAACGCTTACATGTAAAAAAGACAAATGCAAACAAATTCATGGTGTAAAACTTAGCGACAAATTGCGTCGTATACTCGGATTTGAGACAACTTCTGTTAATACAGCTTTCGTAATAGACAGGATTGACGGTGTCGAGAGTTTTGATCCGGTTAGCCTGGCCCGCGCTATCCCCGACAAGTTATTTGTTTATTGCGACATTTGCGAACCATACATAACCAGTAATGCCCTAACGCCGCTTCTTCGTATAGTTACTAATACTATCGAGAGCAAGTACGGTTCTAATCAAGTGAGGCATTACTCGTCTGGAAATTATAT